TTTCTCAAGTTCCACAAATCAATAAAACTCTCTCCTGCTTCTTTACAGAACTCCAATCAGAAGCTTTCGCCTGTTTTAGCGTAGATAATATATTTTTTAATTTGGACTAGTTTCGTAGCCCAATAATAATTTATTTTAGCGTCTTTTTTTCTCGCGCACATACAGACTAGAAAACACGCAATCAGAAAGAGAGAAGGCGGAACTTAAGGCAGAATAATCAGAGAGTTAAACCGCGCAACACAGTTGATGCGCTGCTATGTGAAAGGGACAGGAAAGAGCAGGCAGCTGCAGCTACCAGGCAGAGAAGCTGCGAGAGGAAAAGAAGCGGCTGCGGTATAGTAAATTATAAACATGTTGTTTACATCCAATTATTGGTAGGGACAAATAGGTCCTTCCAAAATTTTGGTAGGGACATGTCCCTATGGTCCCTATGCAAACCTACGCCCATGTTTTATACTTACCTAGGGGTGGAGGTAATGGTTATAGGGGTGGAGGTAATGGTTATAGTTGCGTGTGCAGCACTTTGGAACATTATGTAGTTTAAATGTTCTACAGTATATAAATAAAGTGGCTTGGATTGGATTAAATGTAATAGCTAACTTACTGATCATGTAAATTTTGAGTAACATCAGACTTGGTGCAGATAAAGTGGATGTGCCGACATTCCCCTCCATTTCCAAGGAGGCTGCTTGCACTTTTTAGGATATCCCAGGATTCTCTTTCTGCTGCTGCTCGGTTGATTTCAGATACAATCCATACAGTTGAACAGTTTCCAACAATCTGAGGTGATATATGCATAGTAATTAATAACTCTACTACTAAAACAACAAGTAGTACTATTAATGACAGCATATAATCAGGCTTCAGTCAACACGTCAATAATAAAGTATATATTACCCCTTTCCACATCTCATCTCTGCTTTTGTTTCGGTCTCCATTTCCTGGAAGGTCCACCAGTGTGACATGTTGTAGAAAATTTGTATTTGGCACCCTGACAGTGACACACTTCACCAGTGGCCAATACCACCTTTTTACAACCTCATCTCCTTCTTGTTTTGTGTCACTTCGTGTGTATTTGATCATCTTTGCAGATAGAGCTTCAGCCTGCAAAACCAAAAAAAGATTGTATGCATTGTGAAAAAGTCAGTTTTAGAACAGGGCATCCTTTCTTGCCTGGAAGACTGTCAGAGAGTCCATGGTCATGAAAAATTAGCTTTGATGTTGACAGGAACACTGATGCTCCTTCTTCCAGATGGTGCAATGTGCAGACTCATGCCAATAATAAACACACGCAGGTGTTAAATGCTGCAGTTGTTAATTAATGTCTCCAAACGAAATTCTCTAAACCGGAGATCTTCAACAGGTGGTCCGCAACCCCCAGGGCTCCACTGAGATACTGCATGGGAGTCGCGAAAGTTTTGGTTGATTAGACTTTATTTTCATTCCTCCCCTGCAATTTTTTTCCACTACAGTAATTGAAATGTCTTTAAATCCACATTAAAATGAATTCAACACACTTTAGTAAACAGATAAATGGAGGCAGAAGATGTCTTTCAGTTATCAATTCACACATTCAGCGACACACAGGAGCTCTTTCAAGCTGGGCACTGTTTCATTCACAACACCTGTCCCATCAACCAGGAATCAGAATCAGAAATACTTTAATAATCCCAGGGCCAAATTACTTTCGTTACATTCTGTAATAGAGTGACTATAGGACCAGTTTAATATAACACAATTTGATACAATATATATAATTAGGGGTTCACCGCTTCATCTTGCCATCAGTTTGGTTGTCCTTGGCCTGGAAAACGTTGAAGACCCCTGCTCTAAACCTTAAATCCTCCTAAGAGCTCTGCATGGTTAGAGATTTTCATTTATTTGTGACTATTGGAAAGGGTCAAGGTAAAAAAAATGATTCTGTTTTAGCAAAAACCATGAAGAAATAGATTATAAACTACCAGTTATGAGTATTATATGGAAAAAGGTAATAGCCCAACTTGAGTTCCCCCATTCAGGACCACTTATTAAAGTATTTCCGTTGAAACCTCCTTTTTAAGCTTGTTAAGCTTTAAATAATTTGATCTGATGGCAACAGATGATGGCACAAGAGATCACCCTCTCCACCACAGACTTATAGAAGATATTCAGCATCTTTCTTCGAACACTGAAGGAAATAAGCTTCTTCATGAAGTACAGTAAAGTACAATTAGCTCTTTCCATTCCAGACTGTTCCCAATCCATTGTCCAGGTAGACACACAAATATTTATGCTCCACCTCCACTTATTCTCCATTGATCATAATGGCGTTTGACCTGTTCTAGTTTTATTCTAAAAATGACAATAATCTCCTGTTAAATACAAGATGATAGTTTTCACACCATGCCAAAAAGCAGTCCACCAGCTTCCTAAATGGAATATAATTTTTTGTTAAATCATACATCAAATGCTCTGCCCCTAGTCAGGGCTAGTGACCTTATTACGGCTCCACAATATGAATCTTAGCAGATCTTACTATAATCATGTAAACCATCTGTCACGAAACATTAGACAAATAATTAACACATATTTTTCTTACTGATTCACATGTCAAGGTTTTTCGTATCGATTGACGAAATTCTGGAATTTCCCTGAAGTATTTGTGATCCATGAGTTGCTCAGTAGTTTTCCATTTCCAGTCTTCCCCATAAATAGCAGACAGTTTTTCAACAAGATCATGATATTCATCATTATATTCTTCATCTTTCTCCTGATCTTCGTTATCCTTAAGAAATTGATCTCTGTTGCTCAATTCATCTTCCCACTCCTGAAAAAGGGGTGATTTTATTATGAAGGTGTGAAAGAAATGTATTTAAAAAGTATTTCAAAAGAAAGAAAAATATATCTATAGTTTACCTCTTTTGTGATGAACTCAATCTCTGCCTCATATTTTTGGTTGAGCCTGTTAGCCTCCACTTTGATCATGACTGAGGTACAGGCACTGAGACTTCCAGATGGTAAAAGCCTTTCCTCTTCAATGACAGCATTTATCAAAGATGTCTTTCCAGCTCCTGTTTTCCCAAAGACTCCAACCAGCTCTCTTTTTTCTGTCTCCAGATTCATTATTTTAGTCCTGTTCAGAAACTAAACTTTTAAACCTTGAACAACCTTTCAAATTCAAGTAAAAGCTTAGGGTAAACTTTGAAGCATAGCTTTGTATTACTTTAATATATGCATGCATAATAATATGGATGAATTTTTTAATACATCATTATGGTTTATATTTTTAAAACAAATTACCAAAATGTCCACAATGCAATAGTTTTTCATTAATTTGATAAAAATATAAAAAATATATTATTAAGTATTTGATTGTACACATAAATTATGTAGCATTAAGATTTTATCCAAAATAGAAATAATTTTAAACAAATTTATCATATAATTTTAGGTTCTGGTTTTGTTGGGATCCAGAGGTTTGCCCTCCAGAGGGCGACGTGGATCCCTTTCTGTGGGCTTCTGTTGGGATCCAGAGGTTTGCCCTCCAGAGGGCGACGTGGATCCCTTTCTGTGGGCTTCTGTTTATCTGTTGGGATCCAGAGGCTTGCCCACCAGAGGGCGCCGTGGATCCTTTCCTGGGAGCTGGTGCTCAGCGCTCACAGCTGATCCCCATCAGCTCATTATTAAGCTCTCCCTATATAAGCTGGGTGAGAGCTCCACGCTGAGCCGGATTGTTGTTCCCTGTTGTGGTTAGCAAGCCTGAGCCACCCTGCCTGCCTGAACCTGTAAACCTGTAAGCCTGTAAGCCTGTTCTGACTCTGTGACCCTGTACCTGAACCTAACCTGCTTGTCCTCTCTGCCTTCCAGGCAGAAACCTGTGTTTTTTCCAATAAACAATTGGACTTTAATCCTGCCTCTGTGTCTGTGAGTTCTGCATGTGGGCTAGTAAAACCTACCTGATCATGACAGGTTTGTGCAGTCCATACTGTGTTTTTTATTTGTAAATAACATGTCAGTCAGTAAGTTTTGTCAGTTTGATAATACTCTATTTCCCAGTTTGACTACCTTCAGCCTTAGAATAAATATCAGTGTAAAATCTGATAGTCAGTTTTTAGCAGAGGTGTCAAGTAACAAAGTACAAACACTTCGTTACTGTACTTAAGTAGACTTTTTAGGTATCTATACTTTAATCCATTACTTATTTCTTCCTACTTCTGACTTCTGCTCATTATATTTTCACAGAAGTATCTGTACTTTCTATTCCTTACATTTTTAAAACAAACGTTACTCATTACTCTTGGCTTCAGTTTAATACAGAGGTCAGGGATTAGCGGACCTGGTCCGGTGTTATGCCGAAAAGCGCATTCCTGCCGAGATAAGCATCCCCAGTCACGGGAGAGCGCCTTGTGTGCGCCATCCAATGCAGATCATTGGCGCCATTCAAATCTAGTGAAAACTAGTGTAATTATAACACAAATACTCATTGGTTACCTAAAGGAAATCGTCAGAAGCAAGCAGATGTTCTTCAAACTGCAAACCCTTGTCTATGCCATGCTACAATGTCGGATTAAGAAAAAGATGTTGAAATGTCGGATACAGGCGAGAGTGTATCAGGAGGTAGAAATGGAGACCAACAAGACCTCCCTCATCCTTGGCCCTATCTCTAAGAATTTTTCAAAATAGTCAAAATTGAGCTTTCAATAGATATAGTGGCATCTGGCTACTTTATACTTTAAGTAGTTTCTGGAGCACATACTTTTTCACTTTTACTTGAGTAAAGAGGTCAAGTTGGTACTTCAACTTTTACCGCAGTGTTTTTAAACTGCAGCATCTATACTTCTACTTAAGTATGAAATGTGTGTATTTTTGAAACCACTGGTTTTTAGCAGTCACATTTTGACTTGGACTCATCCCCAGTCCAAAATGGTTTAAATAATGATTATATTAGAAGTCATAATTGTCAGAGGTGCTAATGTTAACAGATGCTCCAAAATAGGAAACTGCCATAAGAATTATACAAACTTTCCACTGATAACTATTTCTCTTCCATTTAGTTATTTAG